TTATCCGCCGCGTGTCTATCGGTAAGGTTATTACTCCGAGAATATGCAATGTCGTGCTCGCGACACGCCTCGTCCAATGAATTAATGGCTCGATCACCTCTAGCCAATCGTTTTGCCAAGCGAGTTCCAGGACCGCAAAAATTATATCCGGGGATGTGCAACTCGACAGGAAGTGCGTTTATCGCACGATTTAATAGGCCTCTACCAATTGTTTTTGTCGTCTTCGGCGACATTCGTTGCAGTCCCTGATTAACGGTGCTGGGCCGTCAATGTGCGTTCGTTCCCACGGACGATTATAATGTTCCAGACACCGGCGATACTGCTGAACCTCTGAGTCAGCCTTTATATACTCGGGGAGTCTGTCCCACAAAACGTCAATGTGCGTCGGAAACCCACGCAATAGGACAACCTTCGGTATGTATTTCAACTGTTCGGAGGTTAGGTTTCGAATGTCACAAGTATCCGACAGTAGGAAAAACATTTTCGAAACTGAACAATTTTGATATGATGCACCCCTATAAATAGTTCAATCGGAACAACTCGTTAACGAAATCAACTTCGCAACTTGCAGAGAAAACATGCGGTTCTTGAAGCAACCGACAGCGATACGCGTGACAAATTTTGATGATAGAACGCAATCAATGTTCGATCAAGAGACACGCCGACATGGAAACATGCTTCCAAACACGATTCGTGGAATCATATGCGGCCCTTCGAACTGCGGCAAGACAAACGTGTTGATAAGTTTGCTGGAAAGTCCACACGGTCCACGTTTCGAGAACTTGTATGTGTACTCGAAATCATTGCAACAGCCCAAATATCGCTATTTAGAAAATTTGCTGACATCGATTGATGAAATTGGTTACTTTACATTCTTCAATAACAGCGACGTGATTCCAACGACAGAAGCGCTCGCTAATTCTATTTTTATTTTTGACGACATTGCATGTGACAAATAAGATGTGATAAAGGAATACTTTGCTATGGGTCGCCATTCGAACGTTGACTGTTTCTATCTCTGTCAAACGTATGCAAAGATACCCAAGCATCTTATACGCGACAACACAAATCTGCTGATTCTCTTCAAACAGGATGGTACCAACTTAAAACATATTTACAACGATCATGTGAACACTGACATGTCATATGAGGATTTTAATGCATTGTGTCGTGAATGTTGGCAACATAAATATGGCTTTACAGTGATTGATAAGGACAGTTCTATGAACAATGGTCGATATAGGAAAGGATTTAACGATTTTGCTACGCTGTGAGTTGTACAATCGTCGTTGTTACTTAAACGTGGCAACATCGTTCCAACGTGGTTTCAACATCGTTCCAACGTCATTTTAACATCGTTTCAACGTCGTTCTAACTATATAACGTCGTTCGTTACTTCAACGTGGCAACATCGTTCCAACGTGGTTCCAACATCGTTCCAACGTCATTTTAACATCGTTCCAACATCGTTCCTACGTCGTTTCAACGTCGTTCTAACTATATAACGTCGTTCGTTACTTCAACGTGGCAACATCGTTCCAACGTGGTTCCAACATCGTTCCAACGTCATTTTAACATCGTTCCAACATCGTTCCTACGTCGTTTCAACGTCGTTCTAACTATATAACGTCGTTCGTTACTTCAACGTGGCAACATCGTTCCAACGTGGTTCCAACATCGTTCCAACGTCATTTTAACATCGTTCCAACATCGTTCCTACGTCGTTTCAACGTCGTTCTAACTATATAACGTCGTTCGTTACTTCAACGTGGCAACATCGTTCCAACGTGGTTCCAACATCGTTCCAACGTCATTTTAACATCGTTCCAACATCGTTCCTACGTCGTTTCAACGTCGTTCTAACTATATAACGTCGTTCGTTACTTCAACGTGGCAACATCGTTCCAACGTGGTTCCAACATCGTTCCAACGTCATTTTAACATCGTTCCAACATCGTTCCTACGTCGTTTCAACGTCGTTCTAACTATATAACGTCGTTCGTTACTTCAACGTGGCAACATCGTTCCAACGTGGTTCCAATATCGTTCCAACGTCATTTTAACATCGTTTCAACGTCGCTCCAACATCGTTATAACGTGATAACATCGTTCCAACATCGTTCCTACGTCGTTTCAACGTCGTTCTAACTATATAACGTCGTTCCAACACCGTTCTAACGTCGCTTCAATATCCACGAAAGCGCATCAATGATGATCAATAGTAGCATGAACATTAAGGATCGCGAGAAGATAGCGAAGGAGATTGCGAGAACGAGCAAATCGATTCGCAAGAAGTATCACGCTTTGAAAACCGGTAGGATGGAGGAAGATGTTGCATTGGAGAGACATTTTAAACCCCGTGGTCGAACCTCTGAAGCAAATCGCGGAAAGTACCGCTAATGTAGAGGGTAACGTCGGTGTTAAAACTGAGACACCATCGGTGAGTACGAACGTCGAAGCAAAGAGTGCGATGTCAAAACCGAAAAGAAAAGACACACATGACAAAAGTGGGAAATTATTGGACATGTCGTGGGATTATTTAGATACGTTCGCATTGCCTTCACCAAAAAAACGGATACGATTAGACGATTCTCCGATATATCTTACATCGAAGAAAGCACCTCTATACGAGCAACCGCATGAATCGAACGACACTCTACCCATTGATGATGATGAGAATACTGTTTTCGAAACCCCGGATGAGCCGCTCGCGACATCCATTAGACATCAGTTACAAACGCGCGCGGGACAACAAACGTTGCGCGGGACAACAAACCTTGGTCCCCTGGAACAACAATACTTTGGAGCGATGTTAAGCGGTGGAAAAAATACAACTATAGATCACGTTTACGGGGTACGTTTCGATAATGATGAACCGACGCTAGGTGATAAACGCATCGACGTGGACAGAGACGATAATATAATCATTGATGGAACAAGATATATGGGAACACCGGGTCTTTACGAGCTGATATTCAAGAGAATACCCGACGATACCGTGTACACCGAGGCCGACAAACACAAGTACAAAAGTATACTGCTGGCGACGAATGCTCACAGACGCGGCTACAACCCTCTAAATCCTATACTCGGTAACAAAGGGTACAAGTATAAGAATATAATAAGCCCTCTGGTATCACACATGTCGAGCAATAAGGCGGTAGGGAAAGGCTTCTCCGTATCGCGAGATGTGATGACGTTAAACGAAAACAAAATCGATTATACGTATTGGGATGATCCCAACGAGCTGGTGGATCGTTTACGATTACTGGAAGCTTCGCGTAAAGCTGGCAACAATGTTCACGGCAATGAAATTTTATCAATTATCGAAGAACTCCGTGAAGCTGGCCTCATTATAAATTAAGCAGCGCAGCGTTGACACGAGTCAGTCAGTCGATACTGCTCGTGTCGAAATGTCGATGGATAAGTTTGGAACATCGCGAAACAATAACAGTTCCAGAACTGTTCCTGTAGAACGATGGGATGAATACGTTGAAAGTTATGTACATGAAAATGCCCTTTGTCTAAACGCGGCTAAAGATTTTGACGCAAAGTCTCGCAAGATACAACATGTAGCGCAACCGGAAGCCGATAGTGACGTTGCAACCAAACAATATGTGGAAGAGCGTTTCGCAAAATTTGCGACTGATAGTTTGCGCGACTTTGCGAGCAAACGATATGTACAAGATAATACTTTTTGTATATCTGCCGACCGTAAATTCTTTGTACAAAAGGGATCAAAATTCGACATATAACGTGGCCGGAAGCCTTCAATGACGTTGCACACAAAAATTATGTGGATGAGAATTTTAAAGTGTGGAGAGAGCAGATCGCAAAGCATGTGAATGAAAATATTAAAACGTTGAAAGATC